TAAATATAAGAAATATCTTTAGAGGAAACTTTAGAAACATGATTTGTCTCTAGAAATTACACAGCTTGAAATTGAATCTCCAGTGAAAGTAGTAATCTTTAGAATTTATTCTTTGGTTGATTTAATAACTTAAAATCTGAATTATCAAAAGAAGTAAGAAGCCATTTTTATTTTGATTTTTGAATTTTATATATTTTACCTGGATATATTGTCTTAAAGATAAGACCATATTTCAGCAATAATTTTATTCTCTATTTTTCCACTTTTTTATTCATAAATTAAGAATAAAATGTGTGGTTTCATGCTACCGCTATAGTAAATTTCTATCTGAAGCTTCTAGTGTATTGATTAAAACACTGCAGAGGATACATGGGATTCGAAACCTTTGTAAGGAAATAGCTGGTAAGAAATGTCCAATTTGATAGTATTTCCATATTAATCCATGCTCATCTCCATTTTTCAATGTCCTATTGAGTTATAGCTGAATATATATTTTCCCAAAGTCACTGCAAAAATCTCTTCTATCTCACATGCAGTTCTGTAATATGATTTTACTTCTCCCCTATGAACAGGTAAAATTCTCCTTCCATTGAATTTGGGTTGGCTTCAGTGATTATCACCAATAGAATGTGGCAGAAGTGACATTTTGAAACGTCCTAGGTTAGAACATAAGAAGTCTCGAAGTTTCCCCATTGTTATCTTAAAACAGTTCCTCTTCAGATACTCCCTGTAGGAACGCAGACACATGAAATGTGAAGAACAAGCAGCATGAAGAGGCCATGTGTAGACACTCAGAGAGCAGTTCTAGTTGAGCTCCCAGCAAAGAGCGAGCAACAACTACTAGCCATCTGATTGATATATCTTGGAAAACCAGCATGTTACAGCATTCTGATAACTTCAGCCCCAGTTTCCATCTGATTCCAACCCAATGCAAGAATTTTCTAAACAGCCAGACAACCCACAGAACCATGAAAGATAATAACAAATTCGGCTAGGTATGGTGGTTCACATCTGTAATTCTAGCACTCTGGGAGGCTGAGGTGGGAGGATAGCTTGAGGCCATGAGTTTGAGACCATCCTGG